TGGCTGAAGTACAAGGGACTTAGTCCCACCCCACTAGCAATAAAAAAAATAGTGATGTGATGCTTAGCCATCTGAGGATTTGAGGTATCTGCACCTAGTTTACAAGTTCAGTTATTTCATTTAGCTAATAATCTAAGACCATATACATTCTACTTCATTATCTGTGTTCTACCATGCTGATTTGGAAGGCCGTCAAACATATCAGTACACCAACATAAAATTCAAATATAGCTACTTTCATGACTCACACATGACTCCAAGCTCAACACTCTCTCCTCTAATTACTTTAGATTTTCTTTCTTAATCCAAATGGAAAATGATATAAAATGAAACAATAAAAAATAATTACTTTTGGTATTAAATACATTGGTCTTACAGTCTGATTTGTTTATGGCTTTCTCTGACATTAAGAAGGTAAAACCCCTTTGTTTTGAAAACTAACCAAGACACGATGTGTGTGTCCCCCAATACTGAACAGAGAAAGCTATACAATTTAAGAAAAAACACTTTATGAAGAATCTCACTAAGGAGCAAAAGAAAATAAACTGAAGACTCTACAACCCCTTCCCTTAGCAATGGCACAAATGTAAAGGCAGCCTGAGGTCATGTACAGAACTACTTGTTTCCAGAATGAAAACTGTTGTAAATTAACTCTAAACCAAATCCAAATACTTTTGTTACAAAGAATGTGAAGAAAACTATACTTGTACAAGTTGGCTGTTGAGTAACCCCAACCCACTCTGATGTGAAAAGGTGCACCCTTAAAAATTACAATGAAACTATACTTATGTCCATAAAAAGTGATCACAACTTTATGTTTATGAAACTGAAGGATTATCTGTGGAAACTTTAGCCAGAGATAAAAACTGTTTATTTCAAAGTCTTGGTACACCACTGGAAAATGAAGTCCAGTACAATGTATTAAGAGAAAAAGTTGTACACTACATGTATAATGACTAGGAAGGTAGTTAGTTGTCTTGAAGAAGGATGCAGCAGTTCCTACGAAACGTTGGTACTTATCTACCAAACTATACGGCCTCACATCCCAATAGACCATAATCTTGATAAAGTTCAATTTAATCTTCATATAGAGTATGAGCTGATCTCAGAACTACACCTGTATTCCATTCCCTACTCAGCAACCATATATCAAATCATGAAGAGTAAAACTACTAATTTTACCTAAAGTTCAAGAAAATACTAATTCTGAGAAATTAAATCTTTAAGATGGCTCTTATGTACTCAGCCACTTCCATTTTTTGTATATTTGGAGGGTGGGGGAGGTGGTGGTAATACATCTATCAACTCCATCTATGCAATTTTTCCCTTCCTTTAGAATTCTGATAACAACCTCAATGACTAAGTTTATGTGAAGTCAAAATTATCTTTGTGGTCTTAAGAGAACATCAGACTCTACACTGAGTAGCTAATGAATACTGAGATTGAAATGAATATATGACAAAGAAATGGAACAAAAATTTTTCTAAGCAATTCATGTTAATGAAAGTATATTACACCTCTGTTGTCTGTCTGTAAGTTAATCCTTTCCTGCAGGAAGGGGGGAATAATAAATTTCATTACAGTGATCCAAGTTGTTGAACGATTAAATGTAAAACAAATGTTTGGAATAAATATAAGAAAAGGTGGTGTAATTGGTGAATGTTCTACATTTGATAATTTTCACTCAGTGGAAGGTGTGGTCCAGCTGGGTCCACTCGGCACAGGGGGGCCACTGATTGGCCTATTGTACCTGCCCCAGGTGATTATGATGATGGAAAATTTGGTGGAATGAAGATTGGCAGGGGAAACCGAAGTACTCAGAGAAAACCTGCCCCAGCGCCACTTTGTCCACCACAAATCCCACTTGACCAGACTCAGGATTGAACCTGGGCCACAGCGGTGGGAAGCCAGCGACTAACTGCTTGAGCTATGGCATGGTCTTACATTTGCTAAACTAAAAGTCGCTTTTTTGTAAGTTTGAAAATCTCTGAGATTAGGACACTGAATATATCATATATAATTAAATAGGTAACTGGAAAACAGATAATATATATGCACATATGTGTATATCAAAATAAATTTATATAAAAGTATATATTCTACATAAAGGAACATTGTTCCCGTAAATAATTGTGCACCATGCTATGGTGTATGAGAAATGGAGATATAGATTCTCAACCTTGGTTCTAGATGGAGGTAGGCTGTCAGGTTCATGCTTGGATCACTTTATTTCCCACAAAGAAACAGCATCACAGGCTGGATAAAGTGTTGTGTAGAGCCCAGAGCTAGTCTGGATATGGTGGCAAAGAGAAAAATCTTCCCATGCCAGGAATTGAACCCTGTTCATTCAGCCCATAATTATGTTACTGACATGTTACCTTCTGTGAGAATTCCTTAAATGCTGTTACTGAAAATTTAAATAACAGTGTCACACAACTGCCTGTGCATTTAAAGATGCTGCTGAATAAATTCCTTATGATAATATATAATAACAGAGAGAAGAGGGCCGTTCCTGTCTGAGAGAAGAATAGGAAACATGATGACAACTCCAGTCTGTAAGTTACTTTGGATGCTTCATCCAAAATGTTGTATATCTAACTCTATCTAATACAGAAAACATCAAAACAGTTGGAGATGATTTTAGAAGCTGATATTTTAGGACTTTCAAGTAACTAATTCATAAGGAACTCGTTAAGAGGATTAATATACTATGCATTAACTTTATCTGCACAACTGAACTATCACCAATATTTTCTAGTAATTTGTTTAGACACTTTGTTCTAATACAGACACATCAATTAAATCTAAGCCTGTTCTACATTTCATATCACAGTAGTGTTAAAGCTCTTAACTGGTGGGGATGAGGCAATGGGAACTTGCACTACAGGTAGGCATTCCTTTTATTAGTAATGCTCATGGGTATAATATATATTTAAGACAGAAAAAGAAATCAGTATCTTGAGTAGTTTCTGAGTTCATATTGTGATGTGACACCTGAAAGCTGGAATATGACCATCTGCTAGGCAAAACTTCACCAAGCACTTTCGCATGGCAATGCAGAATATACCTTTGCTGGACAATGGTTTGGTAAACACACATTCCCATGGCAACAGATACTCAGTTTACAACAGATAGGAACAAATGAGTCACTACCAAGGAACAAGTTGCTGAACTCATGATTCCTGCGAAAACCGACAGGATAACGGAGGAACTGTTCAACGTGGTGTCTTCTATGTGGGCTGCCTGGCAGTTATAAAAGGAGTAGTAGTGAGAAAGTGTAAAGATCCAGAATTTGAGAGATTAGAAAGATTCCTCACAGAGATTTTGTCAAACAAACGTCATTAAGAAGGAGTTCAATGTGTAAGCTGTCATAATTGACTTCAATTGTAATAGAAACATCCAATAAATCCAATCATCAAATCTAGAACTCATTATTATTCATCATGCTAACCCCTTATATGTGACAACTTGGTGTCAGTAACTAGCAGATGGTCATATTCCAGCTTTCAGGAATCACATCACAATATATTAGCACTGCAACACTCATTACATACTATTTTTAAGATTTTTTTGCAAAGGAAAAAAAGAAGAAGAGATGAATTCCAGTGAGTACACATTTTTCAAATATGTCCTTCGCAGATATCTAGTCTCCCACAGTCCTGATAATTTAGTGCAGATACAAATAGATTTATTGCCCTCTTCTATTTTATCCAATGTGCCAGAGTCTTGCTACACAGCAGAAAACAAAAAGTTTCCAACATAATGTAACATATGAAACAAACCTAGTCTGGAAAAGAGGAATCTATTATTTGATTCATGTTTTATAAAATATATAATTATTGTAGATATTTTAAAAGAGATACATATCTAAATGAGGTCATGTTTCAATTGCTGTAAAATGAGCTAATATTGAGAAGAGTGATAAAATTTCAATTTCAGTTTCATGTGAAGTAGGAGTTAAATTTAACTAATAATAGGTAAAGTAAAAGGTGAATTTATCCCTGTACTCAATTATTTAGTTAAGCACTATGCCAAGAAATGACAGGGGGGAGTGGAGATGTAGCCTCACCATTTTTGACCTCAGCAGTAAATAGGAAAAAGTGATCAGCTTCACATCCTGCCACTTTAACCCTGTCCCTGGATAACAATAAGACAGGAGGCTGGGTGAGCTTCAGAGCTTCAGGATGTTAAACACAAGTGAAAAATTCTTGCCCCTGGTAGGAATCGAACCCAGGTCATCCACCCCATAGCCAATCACTACACTAACTTAGGTATCTTGGCTCCAAAATTGATAAGCACATACTGAAATTAAATTTCTCTGAGTTATCTGCAACTGCTCCCTGAGATATGTAATATCCCTGGCCAGACAGCACTTCATCACTTCCTCTGTTTCTAAATCAGGAGCTTCATTTCTGTCTTGACACTTGGCTGGTTATAGAGTAGGGAAGATAATTTTAATTTTCTTTCTCAATTTTCTGTGTGTTTTTAAAAGGTGATTCTGATTATATGTTGCTCTACAACACAGAGATGTAAGACTGAAGCTTGGTTGAAGACATATGTGCCAAATAGCACAGACAGACCATAAATGATATCCATGCGGTTATTCAGAGGAGAACCATGAAATTAAAGTGGGAACATGCTTGTTAATTCATAAAATTAAAACCTACATAAGAAAAATCATTGGATTTTTCAGTTTCGGCAATATTTATGAGAAAATTATCTTTTTTGTTTCATAAAATTTTATATTAGGAATGTCTAGGATGTGAAGTCCCATCTAGTATCTGAGTGGGTTAGCTTACTACTACATCCAGCTACACACATCTGATATCTAGTACTCATGTAATTTAATATCTAGAAGAAAACCAGGCAACCAACATGTTATTTCTAATTAACAATTATAAAAATAGCAAAACTGCATGTCCACCAGGCCACCTCCTAGCTTGATATACAAGCAATACTGAGAGTGTGTTATAGGTTTAGACTTTAATAATGGGCTTCACCTTGCATCCATATGCGATCAGTTTCAACACGCATTCTATGAAGAAGAACAGGGTGAAGAGCGAGTTCATGATATGGAGGATATCGGCTAGCAGTGGTGGGGCATCGTGGTACTAGACAAACAGAACACGCACAAGTTAGCAATTCTACTACTTGTCATGTGTGTGTGTATTTTATTATGCATAGAATCAGGAGTTTATACTCTTTTCTTTGTATCTTCATTATGAACACTTTACAATAAGAAATGAGCAGTCTTAAATTCTGATTAATATAAAATCAACAAAAGTTTTTATAACAAGTCCTTTTTACTTAATCCATGATGGATTCTTATTTATTTTTAGGCTTTGTACCTGAATTTAAAGAGAAAACACTGCATCTGTCACCCCTTTCTGTCTCTTGAGTAAATTATCCGGGTTGCCTTCCAAGCCTGCAGTTGAATGTTATGCAAAAACTAAAGAATTTGTTTGTAAAATTTAAAATATTAATCTGTTAGTATCCATGGATCAGTAGAAAAATAGTTTCTCTCAAACTGAATGACAATATTTCTATGATTATAAAGTGATATTAGATCCACAAAATTTTGCCTCATGGTCAAAATCATGCAAAAATATCAACAAACACGAAATACACGTTAATACTTCTGTGTTGTGTTCTAAAACTCACTCCACAGTGATACCATTTTACTAATTTATAGTGATAATAATTACAAACAAGATGTTCGCTTACATAACAAGTGAACTTATTTGGGAGGAGAAGAATATTTTTCAAAGGCTCTGTTCAAGTGGCAGAGGCAGAAGTACTATAATAATAATTTTTGCTGCAATAAAGACATCAAACTGCATATATGTTGTCAATCCTCTCTGCTGTTCCTCCCACAGCATTACTGCATTGTTTTCTTTTTCATATTTATTTATCTTATTTAACATACAATCAACAACTAAAGAGCGTCAAATGTATGGAAGATAATGAATTGGAATGGATGTGGAAGGAAGCAGCTGTAGCCTAGTTTAAGGTGTATTCCAGTGTTTAACAGGAGGGTCTAAGAAAACTATGAAGAACCACAGTCAAGACGGATGTGTTTTGTTACAGATTTGAACTGGGAACTTAACGTATACAAGTCAAAAGACATCATCACTTGGGCCAGCTTGCTTGGTCTGTATTGTTTGCTGCATACTGCATTCATAGTATTAGCCTGCTTGTGACTTTCAACTCAAAATATCTTGCCTTCCAAACTCTAGTTCATTATAACTGTAATTTACAATGTTAAATATATACATATATGCATTCTAATTTACATACATTCCTTTACTATTGTTTATATTATGTATTCTGGTTCTATTCTTATGTCTTGACTTAGTTCTTTATACTATTTATTTATTTAATATGACTTTTCCACATCCTAAAGTATTGGTTTTTATGGAAATTATAGATGAGTAATGAAAATAAAAAAAGAGCTTGTACTGACGCCTGAAACCTTTGAGAGTTCTATTATAAGATGTGTTGGTTCTGCGTTGTTTTTGTAAACCAGGGAATTTTTTGTTGTATATATAGCTGATATGTTCTTTTTTCTTTTAAATTTGTTTTATTATATGAATGCCTTGACTTGTCACCCATTTTATACTGTGGATGAATTTTTTGTATATACTAGTCGGTAAGATTAATTGTATTCTGGTTCTATTCTTATGTCTTGACTTAGTTCTTTATACTATTTATTTATTTAATATGACTTTTCCACATCCTAAAGTATTGGTTTTTATGGAAATTATAGATGAGTAATGAAAATAAAAAAAGAGCTTGTACTGACGCCTGAAACCTTTGAGAGTTCTATACCGGGGGAGTTTTGTTGTATGAGTATATATGGCTGATATGTTCTTTTTTCTTTTAAATTTGTTTTATTATATGAATGCCTTGACTTGTCACCCATTTTATACTGTGGATGAATTTTTTGTATATACTAGTCGGTAAGATTAATTGTATTCTGGTTCTATTCTTATGTCTTGACTTAGTTCTTTGTACTACTTGTTTATCTATTATGACTTTTCCACGTCCTAAAGTATTGGATTTTATGGAAATAATGGATGAGTAATGAAATGAAAAAAGAGCTTGTACTGATGCCTGAAACCTTTGAGAGTTCTATACCGGGGGAGTTTTGTTGTATGAGTATATATGGCTGATATGTTCTTTTATTATTTGTTTTATATTATGAATGCCTTAACTTGTTCCTGTTGGAATGGAATGTTTGTTTTTTGATCTGTGACTCATTCTATATCCAATGGTTGTTTCCCAGCCTGTATCTGGATCTATTTTTGAATTTGAAATAAATTGAATTGAATGTCTAACTTTTGCCTTTAAATTAATGACAAATTTTTTGAGCGACAAACAACACACAAGAAATGCTTTCCTTCCATAAAATAAGGATATCAATGTAATATGTTAACCTGCTAACAAAGGTGAAATACAGTTCTTGTCAGGTATCAAAAATTAATGCTACTAAATATGTATGTAAAAACTGTTTCACCGTTTTCACAGCAGTTGTAGCACAAGGTCATATTTTATGTCTGCTTTTCTTCATTAAGGAAGGAAGAAACAGGCTCATGGGATCACCATGATTTCTGTGAGTGTGTGTATGTTTCCTATTTTAACTTTTGAATCAATTTTCATGACACTTGATATTAATGTTATGCCAATGAAGGCCACTCCTACATTATACTACTTAATTTCTTAGATTGAGTAATAATAAAATGGCAGATTCGCAAACTTCTGAGGTAGGAGTGCCCATTGTGCCACTTAATTTCAGATCTTGAAACTATGTATGATGATAGGTCTTTTAAAATGATGCAATTTTTACTGAGACAAATGCTCTGTAGAGTGTAAAGTAACACCACAGCATCAATGCAAAAATATCCTTTTACTCTCAGTATGAGAGTGGTAACTAATGAACTAACAGATTTAGGTATGTGAAACTCAGTATGTAGATAGATTATAAATATATCCAAATATCACATATTTATATTGTTTGTACATTAAGAAATATAAATTTGGAGATATATCTGAAAATCTAACAGATATTATCTGTACAGAACCAGTATGTTGGTCACAAAAATAAAAACAATAACAAGGGTAAGAGGAAAGCAGACTTTTAGTTATGCTAGAGATTCCTATTGTATTCCCACTGCAAATATTGCTTCATTACACAGAGATATGCTGTAAATTATGTTCTCTGTGTGCATGGGTCTAACCCTTCGCATATAGAAGTCTGGGGCAAATGGACCAGACAGAAAAATTCTAAACACAAATTTATTTATTATTATGGAAGTACATCTTAATTTATAAACAGTTGTCTCTGTCAGTTAAATCAACCATTTTCCATTTGATTTTATTGTAAACTGATTCTATATGCGTTTTAACAATTCTACATAAATTACAGAGGTTTTGTAGCATGAAATAGAATGACAGGACAATTATTACTCTTTCAGTTGCATAAATTATACAGTACAGAATGGGATCAGAAAATGACCATGAAAGGTAAGTAGGCAAGGATTTGAAAGGTACTGGTTGTAGTATTTTCCTGTAGACTAACAATTATGAAAACCTCAGTCAAGATAGCCAGTAACCCAGTCAAAACTTAGAGAAGGTACGAGATCTCATTCACTAGCATATTACCACTATAACATCCTGCTCAGTATGAACAACGAAATGGAGGGATGCATTAGAAATTATTGTACCTGTCACTTGCTAGCTATCACTGCTGAAGGCAATTAGTGAAAGCATAAGAAATATAAATCAAGACAACTTTACTTTCCTTCAAAAGAGGTTGGAATCTGAAGTAGATAATAGTAAGTTGATTTTTCTTAGGTTACAATTCACTTAATATAGCACTTATTTTGTGTGGTATTTTATGATGCTGTCTGTAGCAAAAGTATACAGCATGAAGTGATAAGATGATTGACAAATTGAATAGAATCTGGAAGGAAGTGGCCATGGTCTAATTGAAATACTATCCTGGCATTTGCCAGAAGGAAGCGAGGAAAAGCATGAATAGTCTAAGTTAGGATTGTCAGTGTCCTAGATGAGATTTGAACTGACCTCAGTAATACAAGTCTAGAGCACTGTCATGAGATCAATCTATTTGGTATGAGCACAATTCCTAACATATATTCCCCTACTACACTAACTATTACTGCCACAAGAATAATGTGATGATATTACCAGACCTCAAGTGAACATTAAATTCAATGTTCCATTCTCTCCTAAAAAATTAAGATATAGACTGTAAAGTACAATGCTGGAAGGATATATTTACAGCCATAAAGTTAACTGTTATTCATGCTGAATTTAAAAGAACAGTACAACACCTCTGCCACTTTAGTAGTAACTGACCTTGAGATGTACATCTTGCATGAGGAAGACATTACTCTTAATTGGGTAAGTGGAAACATTTCTTATTAAAGAGACTTTTGTTAGCCTTCAGGTGATTAGGCTCCTGATTCTGTGCAATCTGGTGTATTTAATTAGTTATGACAGCATGAAAGACATTCCAGTCCCAAATGGAGTATGTTCTTCTTCTGGAGAAAACTGAAGGCCTTCTTTATTTCAGAACACACTCAATGTAGCAATAAGCATCAAAGTATTAAAAACCTCATAAAATGTGTGTTTTCGGTATTTAATATTTTAATTAAAAGCAATTTTTCTGCAAAAATACACAAAAAAATCAATACTACTATATTAAATGTGAAGAAGCAGAATTTTGAAATTTGAGTATTGCAAGAAAATAAAAGAAGTCCTTCAAAAACTGCATGAAAAACTAACTTCTGGCAATTGGCATAATAGTAATAAATTCAGTAAACTACAAAGCAGGCATTTGAAAGTGAAGGGCTACATTCACACTGGTCCAGTTCATTGTCTGCAAATGTAGCCGCACAGCACAGCCAACTACCAGGAACCTAAAAAAACAACTTAAACAACTCCCATAAATCAAACTAAATATCATTACATTACAATGAAACATTCCCATAGATGGGCAGGCGGTCTCCATTGTGGAATAACACTGTGTCTACTGAATGACTACGGAATCCAATTCAACACTACAGGACCGAGCCACCATGGGTTCGGCAAGACCGACTCGACATATTAAATGCAATTCATTCTAGTTATTTTATTCCAACCTGTAAAGAAAAGATTTAAAATCTTATACACAGCCAAAAAATTAAAAGCATATACTTGTGCACATAACCAGACTAGTCATCAGAGGAAGCACAAGAAAGTCTGTCTCTAAAACACAAGTGGTTCACTTTAGCAATACATCATCTTAGTTCAGTGGGATACAACATGCATTAAGGTCAAGACAACATTCCCATCTCATTTCAATAAGTCCCATTCAAAGTCACATTAAAACATTTGGCACTGATGCCCAAGTTTTGATTCGCATACCATGGCAATAAGAGTACCACATTCAAATATATAATTAATTTCCATGATTCATTAAGGGCTGCAGATTCTTTAGAGAAATTTAGTATCCAAGACACTACATTCACAGCCCTTAAGATAAGACACTAATTACAGCAATAACTGTGGCATCATGTTTGTGAAATAGTCTGGTTACAACAATGGAAAATGCATCATATCATTTTGAACAGCCAGTTCATGCAAAAAGACAATATGCCAACGTGTTAACAAACCATGCTACTGTCATGTTACTAGCACAATGAGCATGCACAGGCAAATCCAACATTCAACATTGTCATAGTCATGGAGCAATATCCATTCTCATGCTGAACACCTAATGCTACATGCTCTCTCATTGGCTGAAGGAAACAAGGACCAAACAGCATGGCTAATAAACAGAAAGTCTGGAAGGATAAAAGGAAGGAGGGACATATCAACTTCTTCTTAATCAATGCTGTTGAGTCTGAGTTCTAACTTCAAAGTTCACTGATCCTTGATGTAGTTTACCTTTTAATGTGACCAACGTGTCAACATCAATTTGGATCATGTACATTTTAACAGTGTAAATTGTTGTCTCAGAAGTATGTTCAAAGTGAAGAATTGTAGAAGTAAGAGAAGTGCCCTACATGTTAACAATCAATGGCCCTATCATACTGCTAACAGATTATTATAAACCTAATATAATGTGTCATGGTAGTCAATGGCTACATCTTGAATGGAATACTACATGCTAATTCCATTCATTTTAGCTGTGCTTTTTCAATAACTTCAAACTTCATCTAGTCAATTCTCCTGGATATAAAAACTGTACAAATTTCAATCACAAAAGTATAAAGACCATTATGGTGTAGTGAATTTCAGGTTAATGCTTAATATTCTTGAAGTTTCATGACAGCAGTAATAAAACACTTCATTCTATGTTACTTAATTAATCAGAGATGAAATTGAAAAAGCCAGCATTCCCTCCTTATGGCAAAATGGGAGCTGACGTTACTCATCATATTTCATTATAAGAATTAGTTTTCATGTCACTGAACACACAAGCCTGACAAAGAAACACTTAGCAGAATGTATAAAACAATGTACTGGTAATCAAGTTTAGCCTCTTGATTAGTAATAATTTATTTATTTTGACTGCAGATTTATTATTCTTAGGGAAAACACTACTTGACATATGAAAGACTACGTGCCTATATTTCAGTTTGCTGTATTGCAGAACACCAGATATATCAACATGAGTTTTCTTCCTTTATTCTGAGATTACATTTAATTCATGCATTTGTCCTAAAATTATGCAGTGCAAGCTTCTATCTCATCTCACTTAAGAAGGTCTGTCATAGTATTTGTAAGTACATCTTAAATTGGCAATTTCAGTGCACTATTCAAATAACTGAATAATTGCACATTTAGCCTTACTATTACTAGCAACAAGAGTTGCAGCATTTATAAACCTTCACAATCAAAGGACATTTTTAGAGTATAATACCATATCTTCCATCATGAAAGCAGAAAGATTTCAAGACACAACTCAACACTGTATTGAGGATAAGAAGAGCATTTTTTCTGCAGTGTGATACTATGTAGTCAAGTTGAAGTTTATCAGCATTAAAGAGGAATATACTGCCTTCATTTTCTAGATCAAAGCATAAGCTGAGTGAGCAAATAAGCAGCTAGTAGTAAGACAGTTCTGCTTGGTGCTTGCTTGGTTTCCTGTTTGATGGTGAAGACAGAGAAAGTACATTCCTCTGAATCATTAGCAAACTTGTATCCTACTATATGGCATCACATTCTAGGTGATAATTATCTTCATAGTCATCATCATTAGAACTTCAAATGTTATATGGTGAGGATATTTGCTTAGTCAGGTCCCATTTTATACCACTGAGATTGTTTGAATGTTTTCATTTTTAATATACAAATACAAAAGTGTTGTGTCGCTGTTGTAGATGTTGTTGATGGTTTAAGGTTAGGGTGTTTCTTACCCGCACTCCGAACGCCACAATCTTGAGAATACACTCAATGGTAAACATGCTGGTGAAGCCGATGTTCATGTAGCCAAGAGTTTCCTTGTACACAGTGCTTTGCTTGTCATACTAGAACAAATAGTAAAAAGAACCAAGAAAAAAACACAAATGAAAATAAATAAAAACGAGGATTACACGGCACAGTGACGAGGAAAGAACTCACCAGACACAACTGACAAAAAGATAACTTACACCAGGTGGTTATAGAATGGGAATTATTCACAGAAGATTTTGTGTTGATACAGAGAGATTGCTTATTTGAATGTATATTTAGTTTAAATTTCAATATTGACTATTCTGAAGAAAAAAAGTTAAATTTACTTGAACTACATAGAAATGCTCAAGTACTGACTCTTCACTTTCAATGAGAAAGTGTGATTGCCATCTACTTTTGACTTCTGTGTCTGTAAGCTGTGTGCACTTTGTGTGAGTGGATGCAACTTGAACTTCTTGCTGGTTGGCAGAGTGTATTCAGTTTCCATCATCAAATTTGCGTTACGAAATAAATAACTGACACGGTAATACCATCTGTGGAAACTGCACATCATTTATATTGTAATGCTGCTAATTGTGGAGTGTTAACTGGTAAATGATTGTGAATAATAAATTCAAAAATATTTGGATGGCACTGTCATAGACTTGCCTTCAAAGACTAAGAAAAACCAGAGCAACTACTTTGAAACCAAATGTCCAAGCCAGGATCTCACAAAAATAGCACAAGTGCTAGCTGCTTCAGAGCAACATTCAGTTAGAAATGCATTCATATAGCAGGATTAACACTTTACTCTCTATAGATAGCTTATCATAATGAAAACTGTCATTTAATGAACTGTGTAATGTTCACACTTCTGAAATCTCTACCAAATGTTCAAGGAAGGTATTAGACTGAGATGTATGTTGAACGAATTTTGTCTCTTGAATATGGTCACAGTCAGATGCAGCACTTGCTGCTAATAGTGAAAAATATGTTTACACCTCTGTAACCATTAGACAGATAGACTACTTGTGTGTGACTATTTAGGCTTTAACTTCAGGAGGCTATGCAAGTCTCTGTAATTTAGTCATTAAATATTACTTGAATGTTGTCTACAGGGTTTCATATTTATGGCACGTTTTACCATCCTTTCAATGCTTAACAACTTGGGGTCTTGTCTCAAATGTAGGTCATAGTAGCAGCAAAGTGTTATGGTAAACAATATCAAGGGAGACTCATTTCCAATTTCAAACTGATAATGTAATTTAAAATATCCTGCATAGATGGGTGCTCTTGAAACTATGGACAAAATACATGTTCACTATAAGGTAATGAGAATTCTATTATGCCTACACAAGCTTTTAAAATCTCTGAATGTCATGGCATGCATCCTAAANCGTCGGTTAACACCACATATACACGGTGCCAAATCCCAGAAGACTGCTTTCTTCATCTTAAATACCATTCATTTAACTTAAATTACTTGTACTCTGCCAAGTCTAGCTCACCTTGATTACAATTATCTCATATTCAAACATAAAATTAACAGAAACATCAATTATAGCAATCTGCCTGCATCAAGTAATGGTTAACAAGGATGGAGAATTATCATACAGAAGAGAGCATTTACCAGAAGCTTCCACCACATCTGCAATATCAAGACAAAAACACCAAAAACACACACATACATTTAAACCACAGCATATAGTACCACAGAAATGACAATAGCCCTTAAGTTTGAATCCAAGAATCTGAATCAAATGCAAAATATAAGGCATATACTATATAATTATCATTCCAAAATAATATAAAACGTTGTGCTACAACCCCTTCAGTTACATTTACAAAATAAAAGATGACAGTAATGTTAGTCAAATAAAATAAAGTGTTCATTCTAACTTATGGTTTTAGATTTCAAGATTTTCAGCTTGGAAATATCACACACTGACATTTCAGATACTGTCACAGAATTCATTGTCTGTAATAGCATTTGAAATCTTAATCTGAATTCTGTGATGATGGTTTGATCTTTCAGACTGGTATTTTGGACAGTGTCATCAAATTTTCTTCAAACCATAATCAGTGACAAGATAAAGCAAAGAAGCTTATTTTTTGTGTCCCTTGGTGAAACTAGATCCAGGTTTTAAGACTAGCTCTGGCAGGGGCCCGAAAGAGTAGAATTCCTTACTTTACCTTCTCATTTGCTGAATGAATTAGAACCAGTTTTGGAAATGCTATGGCTTGGAAAACTGTTATGATGAGCAACATCCCAAAATTAGACAAAAGTAAAACATCTGAAATACTATTATGCAAAGCATCAGAGGCCCAAATTGTGGATTCTTATCACAGTGAAGAAAGTTACTACCAACAGTGAAATCATAGTATTCACAAGATACCCATATACCTGGTAACATTAATATGTTCCCATTTTGTCTTCAAATCCTTGTTGTTACTACTATTATAACTCATATGTCATTTCATAATATTAAGAAGCCTTGTTTTATAACATTGGTTCTTCTATTTAAGAAATTATATCCACAAAACTCAAGGTAAATATATGTAATGACAATGCAAAGAAAGAAAAGTCAGTGTGTCTGGATGAAGGATCTAACAGAAGCAGACATCAAATATTTATTCAAAATGATTATTTTGTCTTAAAATAGAGTTCTACATTTCCTGTCATCTTTCATTTCATTTGGGACTGCATGTAATTATGTACTTGCATGACTTTCTATTTGATAACAATGACTGGTATTCAGATTTCAGGGTTCAGACTACAAAGATTATATGAATACATTCATGTAAATGCTCTCTAGTTTCTTATTTTAGCTTATAGCAGTGCTGAAAGGCAAGCTGGATGCACATTGTCTAGGAAAAGCTAGAGAGTTTTCTATAAAAATTTTGAGGACTACATGGAGGTGATTGTTCAGATTGTTGTCTTATGAGATGTGACATCATGTAGACTTATAAGAAGATGCCAATTTCAGCACTGAAGATGGAGGCTGCATGTTTCTCCAAAATATTGGTATCCATCTATAAGACTACACAGTCACACAGGAGTGAACAGAACTCATATATTATCCATTACCTGCATGAAAAGAAATCATTCTTTTCAACATGTATTACAGTTCAAGATGATTAAAGGTTTCAACTGTTCTCTTGGACATACTTTTAGGAATTTACAACTGGCTGTACATCTGGTAAGATGTTATAAACCTACAATTACCAAATCTGGGTCTAGCTCAAAGCCATATCAAATACTGATAACTCTGACTATAAAAGCCCAAACTGTAAGCAAAATATTCATCTAAGCAGGCCATTACGTTTCCTGTAGCAAAATCTGAACAGGATATCTAAAGAATTTGTAACTTTAAATGCATGTTAATCAACCTTAAACAGGACACATACAAAACAACAAATAACAGATTCAGTTCTGCATCAAACCATGTTATGTGTCATACATACATCATTAATAAATAAATTGGCAGCTCATGTTGTTTGCACAGTTATGCAATCTTGAGGAAACTTCAGCAATATTATTTGTGCCTGCTTTCGTGACACTCTAAAATTACTGATCCCTTAAAAATCTTAAACTTTTAACTAATGGTTTTTCTGAACATAACAGTCTCATGGCTTGTAAAAGCATGCAGTATGGAGACAGCCAAACATTTTGGAGGAACATGTCACCTTCTTCTTCAGGGTTGAAGAGTAAGCCAAAACCGCTTCTGCAGGTTTTTTGCTTGGCTTACTCTTCAATATGGAAAATAGAGGTGACATGTTCATTTGAAATGCCATGCTCTCTCCAAATCACATGGAATTACTACTCAAAAAACTGTAGTCTTCATAGCCACCACTATGTGAACCTCAAATCCAATAAAATGACTTTCTTTTTCATATTAATCACTGCCTTGATTTTGTATATTAGATACAACATGCTTAATTCATTAAGAATTTTAGACTATATCACTTGCCATGAGGCCCTTCCTTTCAGTTTCCTTTGTTCTATTTTCTTTATTAATCCAATGAATATTCTGTAATTTTTTAGCGCCTTTACATGTTGAACCATAAATTTCCTAATTAAAGGACAACTTGAATTAACTGATATGCTGGTTCTGCATGCCAGTAAATTAAAACTATTTCAGATGCTGTTGCAACAGGAATCAATGTGAATGGAAGACAAATAAAGTATTTAAGTTCTTTCTCAGCTTTATCATAATGGTTTTCATTTTCTACTTCTAATCTATTTTGTGTAACTTTCTAGCTATTTCCTGGCTAGTATGACTGCATTTCAGTATGTCTGTACACAGTGACTCAATGATATATATCCAACGCATATACAAAATCTTGAATTGTATTCATGAGACTTTAACTGCATGGCAATTCTTTAAAAATGGAGCTGAAACAAAATGTTCTTGAAGTGTGACAGGAGAATTAAAAGAGTGCAACTTTTAAACTTATGGTTATACTGATGCCCTATAGAATTTATGGCAGTATAAAAGTTAAAATAATTTCCTTCAAGACTTACAATAACAAATAAAATAAAAGCAATTCGAATGCAATGCCCAAAAATAATGCCAAAAGGAGATAGAGTTCATTCTGCTTCACACAAAACTAAAACAATATATTCTGTTTAAATTTTGGCTTTCAAACATAACTAAATTAGTTGACAAATCCAGTGAATTACCATGCGTTAGCAGTCTGCAAAATCATGTTCAACTCTGTTTTCCTTCGTCATGTCCCTTCAGTTAAGGAATGGTTCGATAAAGTAAGAATAATCTAGCAGCCAAACAACACCAAGGCTCAATTTAGTTTTTTGGAACACTGAAGCTCATGAAAGGTTCTGAAGTTATATTATTGGGGGGATCTCAGGCAATAATGGCTATGAACTAAATACATGTTCCAATAACATATATTTTCCTTTTAGGATTCAAGTTTATAGTTGGTATATTTGACTGCTAGTTACAATTGAAAACATAACTAAGCAGGAATCATGGAATAAGTGAAATAAATTATCAAGTAATAAAATTAAGATTTCTCAGCAAACAGAATATAAAATATCTCTACAGGTTATGTTACATGAATATGCATAATCCTA